AAACTTTTCACCCACAGACTCTTCACCCAGAAACTCTTCTTGCACATACTTTTCACCCATATACTTTTCATCCAGAGACTCTTCGCCCAGAAACTCTTCTTGCACATACTTTTCACCCATATACTTTTCACCCAGAGACTCTTCACCCAGAAACTCTTCTTGCACATACTTTTCACCCAGAGACTCTTCCCAGATACTTTTCATCCAGAGACTATTCATCCAGAAGCTCTTCTTGTACATACTTTTCACCCAGAGACTCTTCACCCAGAAACTCTTCTTGCACATACTTTTCACCCAGAAACTCTTCTTGCACATGCTTTTCACCCATAAACTTTTAACCCAGAGACTCTTCACCCAGAAACTCTTCTTGCACGTACTTTTCGCCAATACACTTTTCACCCAGAGACTCTTCACCCAGAAACTCTTCTTGCACATACTTTTCACCCATATACTTTTCATCGAGAGACTCTTCACCCAGAAACTTTCTTGCACATACTTTTCACCCAGAGACTCTTCACCCAGAAACTCTTCTTGCACATACTTTTCACCCATATACTTTTCACCCAGAGGCTCTTCACCCAGAAACTCTTCCTGCACATACTTTTCACCAATATACGTTTCACCCAGGGACTCTTCACCCAGAAACTCTTCTTGCACATACTTTTCACCCAGAAACTCTTCTTGCATTTTTTCTTCCATATACTTTTCACCCAGAGACTCTTCACCCAGAAACTCTTCTTGCGCATACTTTTCACCCAGAGACTCTTCACCCAGATACTTTTCATCCAGAGACTCTTCACCCAGAAACTCTTCTTGCACATACTTTTCACCCATATACTTTTCATCGAGAGACTCTTCACCCAGAAACTCTTCTTGCACATACTTTTCACCCATATACTTTTAACCCAGAGACTCTTCACCCAGAAACTTTCTTGCACATACTTTTCACCCAGAGACTCTTCACCCAGAAACTCTTCTTGCGCATACTTTTCACCCAGAGACTCTTCACCCAGATACTTTTCATCCAGAGACTCTTCATCCAGAAACTCTTCTTGTACATACTTTTCACCCAGAGACTCTTCACCCAGAAACTCTTCTTGCACATACTTTTCACCCATATACTTTTCACCCAGAGACTCTTCACCCAGAAACTCTTCTTGCACATGCTTTTCACCCATATACTTTTCACCCAGAGACTCTTCACCCAGAAACTCTTCTTGCACATACTTTTCACCCATATACTTTTCACCCAGAGACTCTTCACCCAGAAACTCTTCTTGCACATACTTTTCACCAATATACTTTTCACCAGAACTCTTCACCCAGAAACTCTTCTTGCACATACTTTTCACCCATATACTTTTCACCCAGAAACTCTTCACCCAGAAACTCTTCTTGCACATACTTTTCACCCAGAGACTCTTCACCCAGATACTTTTCATCCAGAGACTCTTCATCCAGAAACTCTTCTTGTACATACTTTTCACCCAGAGACTCTTCACCCAGAAACTCTTCTTGCACATACTTTTCACCCAGAAACTCTTCTTGCACATGCTTTTCACCCATAAACTTTTCACCCACAGACTCTTCACCCAGAAACTCTTCTTGCACATACATTTCACCCATATACTTTTCATGCAGAGACTCTTCACCCAGAAACTCTTCTTGCACATACTTTTCACCCATATGCTTTTCACCCAGAGACTCTTCACCCAGAAACTCTTCTTGCACATACTTTTCACCCAGAGACTCTTCACCCAGAAACTCTTCTTGCACATACTTTTCACCCATATACTGTTCACCCAGAGACTTTTCTTGCACATACTTTTCACCCATAAACTTTTCACCCACAGACTCTTCACCCAGAAACTCTTCTTGCACATACTTTTCACCCATATACTTTTCATCCAGAGACTCTTCGCCCAGAAACTCTTCTTGCACATACTTTTCACCCATATACTTTTCACCCAGAGACTCTTCACCCAGAAACTCTTCTTGCACATACTTTTCACCCATATACTTTTCACACAAAGACTCTTCACCCAGAAACTCTTCTTGCACATACTTTTCACCCATATACTTTTCACCCACAGACTCTTCACCCAGAAACTCTTCTTGCACATACTTTTCACCCATATACTTTTCACCCAGAGACTCTTCACCCAGAAACTCTTCTTGCACATACTTTTCACTCATATACTTTTCACCCAGATACTCTTCACCCAGAAACTCTTCTGGCACATACTTTTCACCCAGAAACTCTTCTTGCACATACTGTTTACCCATAGACTTTTCACCCAAATACTCTTCACCCAGAAACTCTTCTTGCACATACTTTTCACCCATATACTTTTCATCCAGAGACTCTTCACCCAGAAACTCTTCTTGCACATACTTTTCACCCATATACTTTTCACCCAGAGACTCTTCACCCAGAAACTCTTCTTGCACATTCTTTTCACCAATATACTTTTCACCCAGAGACTCTTCACCCAGAAACTCTTCTTGCACATACTTTTCACCCATATACTTTTCACCCAGAGACTCTTCACCCAAAAACTCTTCTTGCACATACTTTTCACCCATATACTTTTCACCCAGAGACTCTTCACCCAGAAACTCTTCTTGCACATACTTTTCACCCATATACTTTTCACCCAGAGACTCTTCACCCAGAAACTCTTCTTGCACATACTTTTCACCCAGAAACTCTTCTTTCACATACTTTTCACCAATATACTTTTCACCCAGAGACTCTTCACCCAGAAACTCTTCTTGCACATACTTTTCACCAATATACTTTTCACCCAGAAACTCTTCCTGCACATACTTTTCACCCAATTACGTTCATCCAGAGACTCTTCACCAGAACTCTTCCTGCACAACTTTTCACCCAGAGGCTCTCTTGCAATTTTCACCCATATACTTTTCACCCAGAAACTCTTTACCCAGAAACTCTTCTTGCACATACTTTTCACCCATATACTTTTCACCCAGAGACTCTTCACCCAGAAACTCTTCTTGCACATACTTTTCACCCATATACTTTTCACCCAGGGACTCTTCACCCAGAAACTCTTCTTGCACATACTTTTCACCCATATACTTTTCACCCAGAGACTCTTCACCCAGAAACTCTTCTTGCACATACTTTTCACCCAGAGGCCCTTCACCCAGAGGCCCTTCACCCAGAAACTTTCTTGCACAGGCTTTTCACCCAGAAACTCTTCTTGCACATACTTTTCACCCATATACTTTTCACCCAGAGACTCTTCACCCAGAAACCCTTCTTGCACATACTTTTCACCCATTTACTTTTCACCCAGAGACTCTTCACCCAGAAACTCTTCTTGCACATACTTTTCACCCATATACTTTTCACCCAGAGACTCTTCACCCAGAAACTCTTCTTGCACATACTTTTCACCAATATACGTTTCACCGAGAGACTCTTCACACAGAAACTCTTCCTGCACATACTTTTCACCCAGAAACTGTTCTTGCACATACGTTTCACCCATATACTTTTCACCCAGAGACTCTTCACCCAGAAACTCTTCTTGCACATACTTTTCACCCAGATACTTTTCACCAAGAGACTCTTCATCCAGAAACTCTTCTTGCACATACTTTTCACCCATATACTTTTCACCCAGAGACTCTTCACCCAGAAACTGTTATTGCACAGACTTTTCACCCAGAGACTCTTCTTGCACATACTTTTCACCCATATATGCTTCACCGAGAGACTCTTCACCCAGAAATTCTTCTTACAAATTCCTTTCACCCACATATTTTCACCCATAGACTCTTCACCCAGAAACTCTTCTTGCACATACTTTTCACCCTTTTCACCCAGAGACTCTTCACCAAAAAATTCTTCTTGCACATTTTCACCCATATACTTTTCACCCAGAGACTCTTCACCCAGAAACTCTTCTTGCACATACTTTTCACCCATATACTTTTCACCCAGAGACTCTTCACCCAGAAACTCTTCTTGCACATACTTTTCACCCAGAGACTCTTCATTGCACATACTTTTCACCCATATACTTTTCACCCAGAGACTCTTCACCCAGAAACTCTTCTTGCACATACTTTTCACCCAGAGACTCTTCACCCAGAAACTCTTCTTGCACATACTTTTCACCCATATACTTTTCACCCAGAGACTCTTCACCCAGAAACTCTTCTTGCACATACTTTTCATCAATATACTTTTCACCCAGAGACTCTTCACCCAGAAACTCTTCTGGCACATACTTTTCACCCAGAGACAATTCACCCAGATACTTTTCATCCAGAGACTCTTCATCCAGAAACTCTTCTTGTACATAGTTTTCACCCAGAGACTCTTCACCCAGAAAGTCTTCTTGCACATACTTTTCACCCATATACTTTTCACCCAGAGACTCTTCACCCAGAAACTCTTATTACACAGACTTTTCACCCAGAAACTCTTCTTGCACATACTTTTCACCCATATACTTTTCACCCAGAGACTCTTCACCCAGAATTTCTTCGTGCACATACTGTTCACTCATATACTTTTCACCCAGAAACTCTCCTTGCACATACTTTTCACTCATATACTTTTCACCCAGAGACTCTTCACCCAGAAACTCTTCTTGCACAGACTTTTCACCCAGAGACTCTTCACCCAGAAACCCTTCTTGCACATACATTTCACCCAATGTCCTTCTCTCTCCAATCTCCTCTAACGAGCTGGCCCATCTATCTGTCCATTGACTGAGCCCAGAAAACCCCAGAAAACCGGACCTAGGGGGAATCGATACCCACCGTCGCTGTTTTGCCGCCTGGTGCGTTACCCTGCAAAACCATACTTTGCGCGGTCTTGAAACACCACCTATTTCCGCCATTTTTGACCCGTTGGGCAACTACTCCCCCGACCCCCTATTCTCACTTCGTTCGCAAATAACAACTAGCCAGCTTCTCGGCTGGCTCTCCCAGAAACAAGCAGGTTCTCAACTGGCGTGCCTCGCCAGGTGCCCCTGCACGAATCGCAATCTCCCTGGTGCTGCTAACCTGCACTGTTGCAATCAAATCTGGGTCTCCAGAGGTAAGGGCCGAAAGCGAGCTTGGCAGGGAGCTTGGCATGAAAACACAACGATGCTGAGGATGCAGATGCTGCCGAATTTGCTGCCGGCAGTTACGTATGAAATTTCACGCGATTGGAGATTCGAGCCCCCCCAATACCTTGCTAACGCAAGAGGGGCTTCAGCTAGCAGTAGCTAGCTTTCGTGATCATGGGTCATCCAAATTGGGTTCGCATATGTCATTTCCTTTCACCCCTCCGTGTTTTGATTAAGCCGCCTGTAATTAACAATGAATACGTTCCAGTTCCAGCAGCTGTTTTCGCAATTTGAGGGTTTCTGCCTCAAGGCTTCAAACATAGTATTTATGAAATCTGTCTGTCATGAACCCTAAATTATGATTAAATAAATTCAAACGATTAATTTGGACCCGAGCGACCATGCATTTTCAGGTTTTAGATTAGGTCGCCGCAAAATGAAAGTGAAACTTTACATGTAAAATTTTCTTTTAGCAGGTAATTTGATCCTTATTAGGGAGGAGTCTCTTCGCCCAGCAAATTCTGCTTGACCTTTATGGTCTACACCCTTTCTCGGAATCACGCTCAGGTGCCTTGCCTCCAGTTGTTTCTCTGCCTCTTTCGGCGCAGACTCATGTGATTCTGCTGTGACCTGCATGTCGGTGATCCTCCACACGCAAAAAACAAGTCCTCAAACTCTTGTTCGCCACGAATCTGCAATTCATCAATCGAATATGGGGAAAAGAAACATGCAGCACCAGGTGCCCCTGCAGGAATCTTAATAGCCCTGGTGCTGCTAACCTGCACTTTTGCAATTGAATCTGGGTCTCAGGATCTAGATCATGCGTCATCCAAACTTGGCTTAATATGTCATCTCCTTTCGCCCCTTCATGTTTTTTTTAAAGCCGCCTGTAATTTACAATAATTATTTTGCTCACATTTGCCCCTTGCAGATTCACTCGGCCTGCCTTTTTCAACCTCCTTCCAAGTTTTTTTCCCTCCAGTCTTTTGAAACTGGTAAGCTTTTTAGAGCTTGCAAGTGGGATTGGAGCACTTTGTGCTTGAGCTTTCTTCGAAGCTTAGGAGCTAGTCAGCTGGTCATGCTGATGGCTGCGGTCATCGCCCGAAGGAGATTGGTGACATCATAATTCTTGCTCATGAGACTGACCGAGATGCCCATCCTGCGACCCGCTGAACCATTTCGAGGGCCTCTGCCGGTGGTCGGCCCCACCAGGCCTCTGTCTTCTCAATGTTGGTGGTGAATACTGCACGTTGTGCATCTGTGATTCGAAAATCCAACGTACTGGGCATGTGGTCAACCAATGTCAACCAGCCATTGATTGGTTGTGGTGGGAAGAGTGAGAAGGCATGCTGGTTCAAAGGCCGGTGGAGCAGGAGTGTTGGAGCTGTTCATGAGTGCCCGTTGGATGGGTGTTGCAGCGGGACTTGAACTAGACTGATCTGGGTGTTGTGTTCTCGTTGGTATCTTCCCCTGTACGCTGACGAAGTTCAGCCAATTGATTCCGGAGCTGGGTGGTCTCATGTTGGGACTCTGGATCCGTGGCCCTGGCTGGTAACCAGCTTGTGCACCATGCTTGGTGTTGGCTGTCTTGGCTAACAGTTTTCCATCCTGTCTAGCTCGAAGGTGAGATACCCTGTCCAGGTCGATGCCACGGTTTCTCAGCTGCGTGGGAAGTTCCGCGGTGAACACCACTGCAGCAATGTCCCTGTCGGGATCAGGTAGAGTTCACGACCATGAGCCAGCTTTCGAAGCCAATGATTGCTACATGAGAGCCGCCACTGGTAACGACAGAGGATCACATCCTTCAATGTCCAGCTTCTGTGTGAAAGCCGTCTGACGAATGGCCCTTGGAAAAGTGAGCCCGTTGATCTTCTGATTGTCGTAGTGATCAGGGTCTTCCTGCCAATGAGGGTTGAGATCAAAGCCGTAGACTCTGGTAGCTTCGTTGTTGTCCGTCTTGGGTGCTTGACCAGAATTTGGAGTGCTGGTCGGGCGTGGCTGAGATGGAGAAATCGACGGTGCCGTGGGTGAGCAAGGTTGTGTCGGTGGACACGGTTGTGTTGGTGGACATGGACGAAGTTGTGGATATGGCAAGGCAGGTGGTGGAGGAGTGTTTGGTGGAGTAGATGGAAACTGTTGTGATGGTGCCCAGCTGGTGGGCTATACGTCCCATCATGTAAGTAAGGTCCCGACTGCCATGAGGGGCGAGTCTGAGGTCTCGGCATGTTGTTTAAGTGCCGGACAGCTGAGCTCATAGGTCCACACCATCGAGGGAAGAATGGTAGTGGCTGAGGTTGCCCACGTGAATCAAGTCGGTTTCGCGCAGGCACAGGCGAGCGTGAACGATCAGATTCAGCCATGTTTGCAAGCACGGAAAACGAAAACCAGATCTCAATCCGAGTAAAGCTGCAAACATGAATCAAAGCAGTCACAGTGTGGCAAAGAGTGCACAAGAGATATCCACTGTCAAGCAGGTGGTTGTCCAAGCATTTTAGAAGCCACAAACAAGGAACATGAAAGAAAAAACAAAACAACACAGTGATCAGATTGCGACAGCTGGGCAGCCTATTTTGCTGTGATATGTGCCCAGGTTTCCCTAGAAATGGATCAGCCGGTTTCCGGTCTGACAATGGAAGCCGTCGTCATAGTCGCCTTAGGGATTAGCCGTGGCAGTGTGATCTATAGTGCCCGACGGTGTCTCTGCTGGTTGGGGTGAGCGATGTCGTCTTCCCCGATAAGTGACGTCATCTGACTCTGTTTCCTCTTCACTGGGGAGTTTCTGCCACTTCAAGGCAAAAAAGCAAAGTCCCACATGTTTGCTATGGGGAATCGTATACTTCCCTAACGTTGTGACGATCCCACAGTGTGGGATGTTCGACTGAGCCCTTTCATTACCTCCAGCTTTGAAGCTGATGTGACTTTTAGCTCCCCGATATAAGGCTCCGATGAGCACTTGTTGTTGTCCTTTGCCCCGTTCTTGGGATCGATCCCTCATGTCCGGTGCAGCCCACTCAGGGATGCTGTCCTAGTCCTCACGGCCAATCTCAAGGCCAAGATAATACCCCCCAAATGTGGGGATGTCGCATCTGCGATGATCTGGATTGTAAACCCAGTTGGCCGGACGAATGAATCCTTCCAGCAAAATGTTTTGAGCACCTTCGGCTGGGGTGCCGTGGATCAAGGCCCACGTCGTGAATCGTTTCCCTTTGAACGGTTCAGGCATAGTGAACCGAGAGATTTCAGAGAGTGGAAACACGACGCCATCATATTGATGGTGCGCAGGTCGAGCACCTGAGCCTTCGAGATGTCTATGTCGTCCAACAGGCGTGAGCCCGAGATAAGGCTTGTGGCAAGAAGAGCCACGTCTTCTGGAATGGCACGATTCACATTCATGATGGGTTCATAGACAGCTTGGAATTTGGCTTTATCAACTGCGATGCATGGTTGAGGTTTCTCGGCATCTGTAAGTTCACATGCAGCCTTCATCCGTTGCTTGGAGTTTAGGGCAAACCGTACATTCTTGACCCACTCTGAGTGTCATCTTTCAGTGACACTTTGACGTGGCCTTTGGGAATTGACGTTGCCAACCAGGAGTGATGTGATTGATCAGAATGTGGATGTTGCCACGAAGATTTGGCAGTTTTCTTGCGCTTGCTTGAGGGCGCGTGGTGTGAGGAGTATGCCGTGAGGGGCTTGGACCGAGATTGTGGTGCTGCCAACAGACGTGCACCAGATTGAGGTGGGTCTGGCTTGTAGGGTTGTTGGTCTTTCCAAGGTTGATGGGAGTCGGGAGTTGGCTGATCTCCCCATGTGCCCCAAGTGTCCCATTCTGGCCACGAAGTGTGGTGTTGATGGAGGGCTATAAGTGTCCCTGATGGGCGTCAGAGCTTGACGACCAATGCGATTGGTGTTGGGAATGATGCCATGCTGGTGGATTTGAAGGTTCAGGGGCTTGAGAAGAGTGGCCTGCTGACCCATGATGAATGCGATCATCTTGGTTGAAGTCCAAACTGGGACTTCGTCGATCTGGGGTCACCGACCGGAGAGTGACAGAGCTCTCTCTATCTCGGCAGGATGGGGATTCATGATGACGTCGACGACTGAGGTCACGCGAACGGGGACGTCGTCTTGGACTTCTTCGAACAGAGGGGACGTTTGTCGTCCCTGTGAGGTTCTCGATGACGATGTAGAGAACGAGAGCGCCGTGACGAATGGGCTGTGGTTGGATATTGATTGCTTGTAGGTGGATGTTGGTTGTCAGTAGGTGGAGTTGTTGACGTGGGTGCTTGTGTTGGTGAGAAAAGTTGTGATGAACGTTGGTTAGCCTTTTTCACGGCTGCAACCAAGTCAGCTGTCAACATTTGCTTCATTTGGTTCTACATCTCCTCAGCGTTGAGGGATGGTGGGTTTGAAGGTTGACTCGGTGGAGTCGAAGTGGATGGTATCGGTTCTGGTTGAACCGGTGGTGAGTGAACCGGTGGTGGATTTTGAGTTGAAGTTGGTGGTGGCTGAGAGCGTTGATGTGGAATCAACTATCGAAGATGCTGGACGTGAGTCCAGGACTGGTTGGCCAATTGTTGATTCAACAGTGCATTTCTGTTGTTGGAGCGCATTAATCTGGGCCTGAGTCTGAGCTTGGGACTGACCCTGTTGTTGATAATTGAGGTGGTGTTGAATGCCACATAGGATTCCAAATAGGCTCGGAATTGTTCATCCAGCTGCGAAAAGGATATATGGCAACGACGGTACTGTCAGGTACAAAAAATATAGTAAACAACCGTTCAAAACATGATGCATCCACAAACGCATGCAAATGTCGTGACAAGGCTCGAGGCCCTCGGTAGTCAGATCAACCCCATAAACAGCTGACGTATTCAACCCTCGAATTCGTGCACATTTGAACCTTACCAAAGTAACCAAAAGGAAGTGACCACACCTGGAAAGCATGTCCTTTGCCTTTCTTCTCAAATGACGTGACATGAAGAAATGGCAGCGGTTAAGCACTTGAGCAGCATCAAAAAAGGAAAGTTGTTGCCGCAGCTTCAAGCTACTGGCAAGAACGTCAAAATGGTGAGGCCAAGTACAGCGGCAAGCTGTTTCAACACTCATTCGACCGATAGGTGAGAAGCTGAAAAATTCACTTTACTTAAACGAATTACTAGGTTGAAAATTGTAAATGCAGAAATCAAGTCGAGGATTCAAATTCCTACCTGGAAAGGTATTCCCCGAAGGGTCCATGCCACATGAGGAATCCAGCATGAGTCACACACTTGCTCAGAACAATCATTGCTAATTCTGATGTGGAATGCATCTCACGTGCAAAAACATTCCAATTATACCTGACAGGAATGGGTCGGTGAAAAGACCCGAGAAAGTATCACGGAGTTACCATCGCCATAGCCCGTGCTAGATGAAATGAGTTTGGCGCTGACGCTTCAATTGTCAAATGAGAAATGCAGATTGCGACAACAGCGCAGCAAAAATGAGAAACCCTCAAAACAGGAAAAGATCGACATGCCGGTTCTGGGCTTAGCCGGTCGCCACTCACGAAGGTTGGGAAAATTGACAGCGAAAGATCGACATGCCGGTTCTGGGCTTAGCCAGTCGCCACTCACGAAGGTTGGAAAAATTGACAGCGAAATTGTTTCAAAATGAGCGCAGGTACGTCCAGGTGATCACCCTGGATATCCAAAGGACACCATAGAGAGCTTCGTTGGGCACAGCTCTATGGGCCTTCTGTGCCCCCCTGCTGCAAATTCTGATAAACAACATCCACAAAAGTCACGAAGTCAGAAAGAGCAGGTTGCCTACCGTCAAACTACGTAGTGAAGAAAGACATCATCAGGTAGAAGTTTTACATCTATTCAGATGTTTCACACACACGCACGTACAGTTGCCACCTCCTCCTTTGCCGGTGTCGGATGGTTTCATTGTGCAAATTACGCACTACTTTGTTCGAATTTCACTCCTGCTTGGCATTGGCAAATTTCGCAAAATTTATTGTTCGCCCTAAATGGTGAAATGGATTGAAACGGTGGTTTTGGACTCCATTCAATAAGAAAAGCGGCCATGCATTTTCAGGTTTTCGATTAGGCCGCCACAAAGTGAATGTGAAACTTTATATGTGGAGTTGTCTTTTAGCAGGTAATTTGATCCTTATTAGGGAATCTCTTCGCCCAGCAAATTCTGCTTGACCTTTATGGTCGGATCAATTCGGATCATGTCGGATCTAAGTTCCCGTATAAATAAACCTGCTTCTTATCAGGGAAATTCTTCGCCGAGCGCATCTCTTAATTGATGTTTGTACCCGGTGACACTAGAGGTTTGGCAGTTTTTTCCAAACAGCGTGTCCGCACTGAAGGGTTCTTACGGTAGGAGCAAGAGGCTCCATCATGCTCCGTCTGGGGCGCGTTGTTTTCATTGCAAATTCTCGCACAAATGTGCCAGATGTCCATGCGCCCCTCGACTGCGCAGGTTCGCGCAAAATGCGAGCCCCGGTTTGGCTCGCGCAACCCTCTCGTGATTTTAGGCGTCTCAGATCGCTCTCGTTGCTCGCGCAACCCTCTCGGCACTTTGTGCGTGTCGGATTGCTCTCGTTGTGGCGCGGTGCTGCTTTTAGCTGATTCTCCGAAATCCTGCTAAAACAGATCTTATGAATTATCTGGCAGGCCCTTCTTTGACGATCTTGAAAGATTTTCATGGTGCAGTCTTCGGGGCCCATAATATATGAAGAGTTTGACCACGGTCTTGTAGAGGTCGTTGTGGGAAGTGGAATCCTGCAAGAGGTCCTTGCATCATCTTGTACATGCCCTTATGAGAAGATCCTGTGAAGATCCTGCTGACATCCTCTAAGAGGTCCTTGCATGGTCTTGCACAAGTCCTTATGATAAGATCTTGTGGACATCCTGGTGAAGTCCTCTCCAAGCGGTCCTTGCATGAACTTGTACAGATCCTTGTCTAAAAAACGTGGGGATCCTATTGAAATCCTCCTCAAAAAGTCCTTGCATGATCTGCACAGGCCTCTATGAGAAGGTCTTCTGAACAGGTCCGTGATCTTGTACAGGTCCTTGTCAGAAAGATCTTGTGGGGATCCTGGTAGGATCCACTCAGAGGTTCTTGCATGAAGATCTTGCAGATGCCATGTATTAGAGGTGCTTGTATGAAGCTCTTCTGGGGTTCTCTTGGGAGGCTCTTGTATCAAGATCTTGTCAGATTCTCTCCAGCAGCAGCGGGTCCTTTTATGACGATCTTGTGGGATTCTCTGAGGGGTCCTCGCATGAAGATCTTGGTCAAGGTCTTGTACAAATCCTTATGAGAAGCTCCTGTTTGGATCCTGGTGAAATCCTCTAGGAATATTTGCAAGATCTTGTACAGGTCCTTTTGAGAAGCTCTTGTGGGGATCCCGTTGGAATTCTCCTCAAGAAGTCCTTGCATTAAGATCTTGAAGATGCTACGCATTGTTGCTTGTATGACAATTCTTCTGGGATGCTATTAAAAAAAGGATAAGAAGGTCCTTCCTTGACGGTGTTTTGAAATTCTCTTAGATGTCCGGGAATGAGGTTCTGGTACGAGGTCCTGATGAGTAGACATGGCGCTGCTTCTTGTTCCAAAACAAACTCCTGCTGCTGCACTTACGATAATGTCTAACCTGACCTGTTGCTGTTTCATAAGCTACTGTTGCTTGTATGTGGTACATTGGCTTCCTAACCCCCACAGTGTTTGGGGTCTCTTGCAAGTGTAATTCTACTGCGGAAAATTGTTGCTCATTAGGAACCTCACTGACAAGCGCATTTTGACTGACATTTGCACCCGATGATGAAAGATGTTGCACGCTTTTGGGCCAAGCCCTCCCGTATAACATACGTCCCAATATACCAAATACAATTTCACTCGCCAGGGAGCTTGGGCTACCAGTATGGAGGGGCTTGGGCACTATAGTATATAAATGTTTCGATTTAGAATTGCCAGTGATGTCCCCACATGAAAGTCAGCTACCCCATGATCGATTGTGGAAATTCTGGGGAGAAAGAAACAAGCAGATTTTCAACTAGCGTGCCTCGCCAGGTGCCCCTGCAGGAACCGCCTCACTGGGGCTGCTAACCTGCACTGCAAACACGCGATCGCAAAAACAGAGCAACACCTTGCCTGCCCTAGATTCTCCAACCTCCATGACAATATTAGGAACGTACGCGCAAACATCTGCATGCCTGTGTTCTCTGCAACTGCGATGCCTGTTCATCCGTGTCCACGGGAATCACCGTGGGTTCTGCCGCAATGCATCCTCTAAAGGTCTGCGGCACAGGTGCTGCTCCACCCTTTCTCTGCAGCGCTGCAGCAGGGGTTTGTGGCACACGCGGCCCTCTCCCCTTTCCTGGCAAAGCTGGACCCCTGCCCTTGCTTTGCAAGGCAGCTGCTGCTGCTGCTGCTGCTGCTGCTGCTGCTGCCTCACCCTTTCCTGGCAAGGCTGCAGCAGGGGTCTGTGTCTCGGCAAGCTCATGGTGAGCGATAACCTGCAAATGCAACGAAAGCATCAATCCCAAGAGCAAGTCCTGAAACTCTGGTTCACGATAGTTGAAACATACGGACGGCATGTAAGTGAAAAACCCAGAAGAAGTTTGAGCAAAGAGCAATGCTCTCATCTCATGGCTGCGAGGCTGCTTCATGGTTTTTTCCAAAGACAGGAATAAAGTAGCGCAGGTCTGGACAACGATAGCACCAAACCACAGCGTGTCTGAATAGGACGCAAAAGAATGTGGTGCCATTGTAGGTGGCGAAGTGAAAAGCCGTGTATGGTCCCATGCATGGATGCGATCCCGCCTCCAGCTGCCCAGCTGGAGCATCCGGCGTGAACTCCAGCGCGAGTAGCGCGGAGCCAGCCTCCACGACAAGTATTGATGGATTCGGCCCATCAGATATGCTATTCATGAAGTCACTAGCTATATCAGAGAAGCAAAGAGAAGGCCAACTTTGATCCACATTATCCCCGACAAAATGGTGGCAAGACACCTCTCGACCGATGAGACACGCACGCTAGCGGGAAAAAAAAAAACGCGATCTCCAAAGGCGGCGCCATGCGGCACCCTTAGCTTGGAAAATGAAACAGGAGTAAGAGCCGTACCTTGGAAGGAGAAGTTTCTATTTGGCTGCTGGTCCCCTTCACAGGCGCAGCACTATCCTGATGTGGGCAATTCACGCTGACGTACCAAAAAGCTGCGCATGCAAGCGCGCCATTGCTAGCAGGCAAATTCAGAAATGCTACGCTAATAGAGCAAATTTGGGACTCATGTTTGTACATCAGTTTCTGAAAATCAATGTCCGTCTCCTGCGTGCTTTCCATTGCCAGATTCTTTTGCTGTGGCTCACATAGATACAAAGATACATACATGCCATACCATGCCACTTCATAACAAACAAAACATAACATAACACAACATGGAGGTGACATGACATGACACGACATGACATTGCATAGACATGGATACACAGATACCTCCATACATAGATGCATCGATACAAAGATACATAGATAGATAGGTAGACAGACAGATAGATAGATAGGTAGATAGAAAGATTGATTGGTTGATTGATTGATTGATTGATTAATTGATTGATTGGCTGATTGGTTGATCGATTGATTGATTGATTGATTAGTTAGTCAGTCAGTCAGTCAGTCAGTCAGTCAGTCAGATAGTTAGTTAGAAAGAAAGATAGATAGATATATAGTTAGATAGACAGATAGATAGATTAGATAAACTAAATAAATTAGATAAATTAGATAGACTAGTACATTAGATAGACTGGATAGATTATATAGACAGATTAGATTGGATAGATAGATTAGTTCGGTAGATAGGTTGGATAGGTTGGATAGATTAGATAGGTTAGATAGGTTAGATAGGTTCGATAGCTTGGATGGATTGGATTGTTCGGTAAACTGGAAAGGTTATATATAGATAGAACATATTGCCCGGCATGCCGGGGCGGAATGCGCCGGGGCGGAATGCGCCGGGGCTGAAGTAGTGTAGAAAATAGGAACTGACTATAGGGAGAAGCAAGCCTATCGGAGCAGTTTCTGAACTGGAAAGACATGAGATCAAGCCTGCGACCAAAACAAGGTTAAAGTTTTTCGATGCAAATTCTTTGTGAAAGTCAAATCGATCTCTCACTACAGCGGTGCACATTTTTTGGACCTCATCTTCCAAAAAAAGTTCCGAGCCCCTCGTTTTTTTACGATTATGTGACATCGAGCTCTCGCTGCGGTCTGGTGCACATTTTGCCGGCCTCATCCTCCAAAGCGCTCCGAGCATGCCAGTTCTTTTAAGATAGTTTTTTAAACATTTTGAAATGCAAACCGAGCTCTCGCTACAGTCTCGTGCGCTTTTCGGTCGAGACGCTAAAAGTTTTTCACTCGTGAATTCACGCCTTCCCAAAGTGGTACTCTCCTCTACTGCTCCCACGCTCGAGCAGATGACATGATGATGACTCGGCGATGACATGATTAAGAAGACTGCCCCTGGACATTCCTCCATAACTCGGTAGTTTCGAACTATAAATATAAACTTCCTTTTTGATAAAACTACCTCTCGGGCTGCTGTTACAATGCGTTTAGCAACCTCCAACTGCAATCGCGCTTACCAGGAGCCCGCAGCATCACTCATGCTTTGCTGCGCGCTGCCGTGCCAATGCGTTTTGTCACGAACGTTTGCAAACCCGCATAGCAGGAGCGTCGCACTGAATCAACCAACGATAGCGTAACGCTGACAATGGGGACGATTCCGTGATACTCCGAGCATTGCGCTTGTTTCAAAGCGATGTTTATGTGACAGCGAGCTCTCGTAACAGTCTGTGGTGCGCATTTTGCCAACCTCATCTTCCAAAAGTGCTCCGAACGCCCGAGCGCTTCAATTTTCTGCGACTTTTATGTGAAATCGAGCTCTCGCTACAGTCTGGTGCGCATTTTTTGGACCTCATCTTCCGAACCCTTTATTTTTTACGCTTTTTATGTGACATGGAGCTCCCGCTACAATCTGGTGCACATTTGCCGGCCTCATCTTCCAAAAGTGCTCCGAGCATGCCAAGCGTTTATAATGTTTGAACATTTTGAAGTGCGAATTGAGTGCTCCGAAGCCGTCCGTTTTTTAGCATTTTGAAATAAGTGCAAAGCAAGCTCTCGCTACAGTCCTGTGCACTTTTTGTCGACGGCTTTCCCAGATCGAGCCCCGCGCCCGCTGAAACAGAGACCCTACTGCGGCAATTCTCAGAAGCCACTTTACCCACAAAACACAGGGCTTCGCGCCCGGGAGTGTTTCACGCAAAAAGTCACGCGCTAACGATTAACATGATCATGACATGATCATGACATGATGAACACGATGATGACAAGACTGCCCCTGGACATCCGCCCGTGACTCGGAAGTGTTCGAACTAAACTTCCTTTGATAAACTTCCTTTGGTTAGATAGATTAGATAGATTAGATGGGTTAGATAGATTAGGTAGGTAAGATCAAAAAGATAGATAAGATAAATCTATATATGGATAGGTGGATGGATGGATGGATAGATAGATAGATAGATAGAATAGATAGATAGATAGGTAGACAGATAGATAGATAGACAGATAGATAGACAGATAGATTGGTAGATAGGTAGATAGGTAGATAAGTAAGGTAGATAGGTAGATAGGTAGATAGGTAGCTAGGTAGATAGGTAAATAGGTAGATAGGTAGATAGGTAGATAGGTAGATAGCAGATAGATAGATTGACTGATAGACAAATAGATAGATGGAGATAGAGATAGAGATATAGATACAGATATGGATATAGATATAGGCACAGAAATAGGTATGGAATGGTATAGATAGAGATAAAGATAAAGATACAGATATAGATTTAGATATTGATACAGATATAGAGATAGGTTTAGATAGAGATAGATAGATAAATCGATCGATTGATCGATCGATCGATCAATAGACCGATAGATCGCTAGATCGCTAGATCGATAAATTGATAAATCGATTTTTCAATGTATTGATATATCGACAGATCGATGGGTTGATAGACTGATCGATCGACGGGTTGGATTCGATTGGATTGGATTCGATTGGATCGATTGGGTTGGGTAGGTTAGATAGCTAGGTAGGTAGGTAGGTAGATAGGTAGATAAATTGATTGATTGATTGATTGGCTGATTGATAGATAGAATGATGGATAGATTGATTGATGGATAGATAGACATAGGGCGAGAGACCTTCGCTAAATTATACCCTCAGTTGTTGGAACCTTTCCTCTTAAGATGGGCAGACAGCTTGAAACAAGGGGAGGGAGGGAGAGAGAGAGAGAGATAGATAGATAGATAGATAGATAAAGATAGATAAAGATAGATAAAGATAGATAAAGATAGATAAAGATAGATAAAGATAGATAGATAGAAAGATATAGAGATAGGATAAAGAGAAAGAGAGATAGATGGGTTAGATGAAGTTAGATGAGGGCAGATGAATATACAAACAATTTAGGATTAGATATGTAGATAACGCTAGCTAAATAGATAAAGGATTGGATCAGGTCGACAAGAGTAGATAGACAAAATGATATGGCTTTGAAAGGCAGGAATTTTGGCTAGGGCGGCCTAAGATAAATGGAATTGGATGAGGTTAGATAGGACTATGAATCAATAGAATGGAAAGATTGTATAAAAGAGTTTGATTAAAAGAAAAGGTTACATTAGACTTAGGTGGGCTTAGATCGGGTCACATGTAATTAGATGCAGTTAGACCGGGGTAGATGGGATTAGATGGGATTAAAACATAAAATAAAAAGACATCATAGAAATGCAGGATTCAAAGTTACGATTGGGAGGGATTAGATTGGGTTTAGTGGCATGACTAATGGGATTAAATGGTGTCAAATGTGATTACATGAGACTAGGTAGACTGGATGAGATTCGATAAGGCTTTAAATACATATATATATATATAATATTCTATGTAATTGTGTTTATATATATGTGTGTGTATATATATAAAGTATAGTATATATCTATATAATGCGCGTAAAAGACCGGATTGTAAAATAGATTGGAAAATCGAATTAACAAGGAAGATTGTGTGTGTGTGCGGAGCGGAGGCCTAAACAAACTTCAGCAAAGAGACACAAAGAGCAAAATACAAGCAGCACTCTCTTGGATCTTTGCTGGCAATTCAGAGGCATCTGGGTCAAACACCTCATCTCCCATGTCATGGCCTTGGTCCACCAAAAATTGCTTGAAATATCTTGAAATCTGGTGCGGGCGTCATTGTAAACTCTAAACTATCCATGTCGGTGGGTGGAAGCTCTTACACTGGAAAACTCCACTTGGCAACGACAGGGGGTTGAAAAACCCTTTCCCCATATAGATACCAAATGATAGAAAAGTAAATATAAAAAATATATATATATAGAAAGAGAGAGAGAGAGAGAGATTGGGATGAAGCGAGAAGATATGGCTCGATTCTTTCATGAAGGAGGCTCATGGCTAAATACTTTCTTCGATTGATCCCCACCTTGACACATCATTCCGACATACCATCTGTGAGTATGTATTGGGCGCATACATATATATATATAATTATATATATGCATATTATATATATATATTTAAAAAAAAAAACTATATACATATTCAGACATTCTATCATATTCTACCTGACGCTCTTTCTGGCCTACCTCTGGCATTCTTTCCGGCATTCTATCCACCATTTATTCTGACATACTTTCTTGCATATATGCTGACATTCTTTCTGGCATTCTGCCTGGCATCTATTCTGACATTCTTTCTGGCATTCTTTGTGACATTCTTTCTGGCATTCTTTGTGACATTCTTTCTGGCAGGCTATCTGGCATCTATTCTTACATTCTTTCCGACATTGTTTCTGGCATGTGTCTGGCATCTAATTATCTGGCACATATTCTTGCATTCTCTCTGGCATGGGCGCTGCTGGACCTCAACCACAAGCGCCAAATCTTAGTGGGTTGAGGTCCGCCAATGCCCACTGTGATCCGGCTTGCAGATTGAGGTCCGGCAGTGCCCACTGAGATCTGTCGCTCGCAGTTGAGGTCCGGCGGCTGAGGTCTGGAGGTGCCCACTGCGATCTGGAGCTCGTGGTTCAGGTCCGGCAGTGCCCACTGCGATCTGAAGTCGTAGTTGAGGTCCGGCGATGCCCACTGTGAGGTCGCAGTTGAGGTCCGGCAGTGCCCACTGAGATCCGGAGCTCGCAGTTGAGGTCCGGCAGTGCCCACTGCGATTTGGAGCTCGAAGGAGGAAGGATGAAGGAGGAAGGAAGGAAGTATCTCTGATAAAATCTAGAGACCCTCACCTGGAGGAGGCGGGGAAAAATAGTTGAAACATGCGATTCGGTCCGGCTTGTCGCAACATATAACTCCCAATCTCTAATTGAAATATATTGAATCTCCAGTCACGTTTTAGCAGCACTTTCCATGTTCCTCCCACCTTTTTGCGGCTGAGCAACCAGTGCGCAGAGCCACACGTTCCCAGTTTCCTTGCCAGAACTCCTCCCACGTGTTCGGCTCGTCCTCGTCCGTTCCAGCCTTCGCAACACCTCGCGGCATGAGGGTTGAATATGATCGAAACATAAAAATCTGCCTGATGTGGATCTTGTCATGCAGTGCAGCTCTTGCCAACATGTCTGCCCGGCTTGCACAAGTGAGAATCATTTTTGGCTTCCCTCCGCAGCAAAGATTGCAAAGGAGCCTGAGCAATATGTACAGCAGGGAAGGCCTGGGAAATGTCAAGGTGTTTTCTTCACTTGTCTTTGACACGGTGAAGGTCATTGATAGCATTCACGTTGACTCGTTCCCACTCTTCTGCCAATTTCTGCAGTTCGCCCTTTGCCACATCCAGATAGGAAAACACATCCGCAATGAAGTCATCAGTATCCTCATCATCGTTCTCTGCCAGATAGGGTTTGCTTGCCTTGGATGGCAGGTTGAGGGCCGCCAGGACATTGAATATTGCTAAATGTGCTGTTGGAGAAACAAATCATCTGGCGCAGCCAAATCGCCAAAGCTGACATAGATTTACACTGATGGTATGACATATGCATATATATATGTGTATAAATATATATATATACTGTTCTATGCCATACAATTACGTACATATTTATTATTATTATCATGGTTTAATATATTTTCCATATGCATGTGTGATTATGTGTTTGTGTGCCCATATGCCAATACATCACGATCGCCTTGTATCAATGTTATATTATATATTGTGTTATGTTCATTTGTGTTTTAGTGCTTTATCAACTACTGATATTTATTTGCACAAGTTAGCATGCAGTATGATAATGTGTTCGTCTCCTCCCTCCCACAAAGGGTACAATAGCTTTATCGGAGTACTGCCATCGCTAGAGGGATCAGAAGCTAAAATGACTGAAGTGAACATGTATAATCTGAGGCGAGGGGAAGCCAAGTGACTATAGCAAGGAAAATAAGGAAAACATTGGGAAACTGCGTGACCAGAATGCATCTCAGGCTACACGCTGGAAGCAGCGAATGATGCGGCAGCCAGGAATGACAATCCGCTACTTTGCTGGGGGCGGTACTAATTTGGTATACGGTCAATAGGTTGCTACAGCAAACCTTGCTACACAAGCCGCTTCCGTTTTACGGCTTTGTCTTCGTCTTCCTTTCTTATTCTTCTTATTCTTCTTATTTTCTTCTTCTCCTTCTTTTCTCTTCTGCTCTCTCGCGGCCTTCCACCTAGAATGCACATCAAACTCCCTTGGGGCCACCTCTCTATGGCCGGCGGGCTTGCCGAAGGCAATTAGATAGCTACGCTTAACAGCAAGACAACCACGGCAATCAAAATCCAGGTTGGAATGCCTCCAATGTCTCCCTGGCTCAGTACAATAAACCTGGATGGGTCTGGCTGTGGAAACTCCATGAAACTCCCTACCAGTTCCCCAGCAAAGTCTAGGTTCTCCTGAGCAGCTGCATGGCTAATGGGACTCCAGCTGGACCTGTCCACAGCCCACACATCTGCGCCAAGGTCCATCAGTTTCATGTTTCATGGTAGTGAGTGTCTGGCCAAAGGTGCAAGAGTAGTGCAGTGGCCGAAAGCCTATGACATCTTCGAACTCAAAGTCAGTACCCCGGTCCGACAACAATAGTGTCATATTGAAGAGTTCATCGCTGCGGGATGTGTGATGAAGTGGTGTGCGGCTGGCACCATCCACTGGATCGATGCGAGATCCCGTGTCCAGCCTCCACATGGCCACCTCGCGATGCATGATGCAAGGCCGTTCTTTGGGTGGCATCTTCCAGTTCCAAGTAGGCTTTGGCATTCAAAAGCAACTGAGCTGTTGAGAGGTGCCCAGCAGCAGCTGCAAAGTGCAAAGGCACCCGGCCCATGTTATCAATTCGACATCATAGCACCAGCTTGGAGCAAGTGGCTTGCAGTACTCAGCTGCCCATGCCCAGCTGCAAGGTGCAGAGGCGTCTCGCCATCCTCCCCAACACCTGCGCAGAGAAATCTCCCAGCACCAAAGCAAACAAAGCAAACAAACTATGGGACTCTTTGTGATTCACCCCCCGGAGAGCGCGAAGTTGCGCTCAACCAAAAGCGTTTTCAAGTTGCATCCAAGGACAGGTGGGCAGCTCATGCTCCAGGCTCGAAGATAACTGCGTAACATCTCCCAAACGTGCTGCACTCAGAATGGCTTGGCTACAAAGTTCTGCATGTCCCTGGGCAGCCCACGCAACCAGGACGGAGGTGCCATGATATCGCATTAGTGTCAAAAGTCTACAGGATGGGAATCGTGCCCCTGGCTGATCTCTGAAACTACTTTATCTACTTTGGGGTGCGTGCATCAACGCCGGCTCGTTTCAACACTCAGAACTCTTGGAGAAAATTCAACGCAGTGTTGCTAAGTCCAACTGCGGAAGTTTCACGAGCTTCTCTTTGAGCCCAGTTCTGAGCTGCACGACAACAACACTGAGAAAGTCGCGGGTTTCAAGCATATGACCACATGAACACATGACACATAACATGAACATAGAAAAATATAGGAGAAATACTACTTCGGACTCACAAAAGGCCTTGCAAAGCACACCAGACTTGGATAGTGTTTCCTTATGTTTCCTGTAGCTGGGTTGCTGACCACGCACATCCCCTTGCCTGACGGCGTTGAAGAGGTCCTCTTGGGAGGCCTCAATCGGGCTGAAGTGGTGCATGGCTCATCCAGACTCCAACCTTCATGCAATGCCATGCCATGCAATGCCATGCAATGCCTCAAAATCCGGCAGTGCGTTTGAAAGCTTGCAGCCAGTGGGCTGTGACTGAAGGCATTTGAGCGGTTCGAACTCATCTGATCTCTGGTCTGAGTTTGTGACCGAATCGAAATGCGGACAAATCACCCACCTTCACGTGTCTTTTTTTTGGCAAAGGCATGATACAAACCTGGCCCTAGTTTTCAGGGGGACGCATGCATAGTACTGACATGTGAAAATAAATGAAAATAGATCACACAATTGCCCCCCCCCAGTCAACGCAAGTATTCAAAGATCAAGCACCTTCCCATCTGGTCGCTCCAGTACATGAAGTAGGCATCAGAGGCATCCTGTCCAGATCGATCCAGACTGTTCAAATCTGTCCGTGACTGACACTGGGAACATCTTGAAGCGAATGGATTTCTAAAATTTCTGCGGAGTTTGTGCGAGCCTGGGTTTCTTTCCAGTAGGTGCAGGTCTCATTCACCTGTGCCTTATGGGAAGACTTTGGAATTCAGGTCTAGCTTCAAATCAATGAAATCAACGGTCCACAAACGGTCCGGCACATGTGTTTTTTGCAAACCTGACATCAGCTCAATCTCGTTGAACCCCATCTCTATATCTTCATCACCCTGCAACATCTCCTACACATTCAAGGAAAATTCAAGGTGTATTGTCAAGGAATTCATGTTTACTCTGCACCAACAGAGAGAAAAAGACGGAGACAGAGGTAGATGTCTGTGACATTCTGTGACAATGTTTGAGTGATGTCGTCTCCAGGCTCGCCCAGGTCCCAGACCTCTGCTGATGTCCGCTGTACATAGATCCCATTGAGGCTGGGATTATTGAAGCCCTGGACAGGGTACCTCCGGCATGCAAAAGTTCGAATCGAACGTGCTGAAATTCTGAAACTGGCAAGTCAAACATGACATGAATCTGATATTCTCCACAGAAGCAGCATAAGTGAGCCTGCTCCGAAATTCCTCATCTGTCTCCTGGGCAATTCAAGTGCTTTCTGCTGTGATTTCTACTGTGTCTATCTCTCTTGTGCTTTCTCACAACGCTTTCTTCCTGGCGCTGCCCCAAGACTCCTCTACATGATAATCCAAAACACGTATATACCTGTTCTTGACATAAACTCGGGCGAGCATGCTCGCGCAAGCTCCTGTGCTCCTTCTGCGTCTGCAAGCATTCCCATTAAGCTGATCCTGTCGGCTCTCAGGGCAGAGAGCATCACCACTGAACCCTGGAGGCCCTAGAGTCCTAGAGCTCTTGACAAGACATGACAAATCACAGCTGGCCTCGGCTCCGCCGGCTTCTGCTCTGGCGCCTGACAGTCAATGTGAATGTAGGTAGTCGAACTGTGAGGGCAAGAACACGTGTTGAGACGATTTACCTAGAGTGAAATAGCATACTGACAAGCCTAGACCTTAGCCCTTTCTCAACTGATGCTTCTAAATTACAGCAGCACAAAGATACAGCACACGATAATACACAATACTCCAAAGGTCTGACAAGTTCCCGCTTGGCAAGGCAAACGGAAGCTACCTGCATAAACGGCATTTCGCCCATGCGCCCTGCACAGCGGTACGGAAAAGCAAGCATTGGAAGTATGTGGAATTGTGTACCCCCTCACCCCCTCCGCAGGTTTCCTTTGAAAGTGCTGGCCTTGAAGCGCCGCAGCCTCGTTACAATCAAGTTGCTAAAAAGCCCCAACACCCCGAACAAGCAGCGCTGGTCCATGCTGGTCCTACCTCTGTTTGAAGAGAAACTCAGAGTACTTCCTGTGTGTCTGCCCATGCCCGCGCTTGTGCCTGATTTAGCATTTGGAGCTGCACCGCTGCAGCCATCCTTGGGTGCGCTCTGACAGATTTGACATTCATGCCGAGTTGACCGTGCCATTGGACATGAAGCGATTTCAGCATGCTCCCCCTCTGTATACTAGCCCCAGTATGCACCGGAGAATCTAGTGCGACTAATTTGTGGAAAAGAAACTGAGCTTGTGCCCACCAAGTGGGCACGGCTGGGACTGCAGAAGCCTGGACTGGATTTCAGGTAAGAGTGGCAAATGACTGCCAGAATGAAAGCAAATGAAGCTAAATCACGTAAATCATCCTAAATCAGTCTTGCCTCGTGGTCAGGGAAACCAAAAAACATGCAAGGCTCACAAGTGTCACAGGAGACAGGTGGGCAATGCGGAAGAGACCCATGTTTCGCATGGCACCCCAGCCTGTGCCACACCCTTACCTTGGGGACTTGAGGCAGGCTCCTTACCTGATTATGACGAAAGGTGATCCATCTGGATCAGCACCATGAGGAAATGTAAGAGCACTCTTGACTTTAACCATGAAATTCTTGGATGGTCTGTTAATCTGGTACAGTACAGGTCCGGTACAGTACAGGTACAGTACAGGTCTTGGATGGTCTGTTCATCTGTTATTCTTGGATTCAGCGCGTCAACAGGGCGACCAGCAGCATTCAAGTGACTAACAGCTTGGCGCTTACCCTTCGGAAGGCCTTTGCAGCCTTTGAGTGGTTTGGCCTGTCACAACATGCAATGATCAGGTCATTGCAGGAGCAACAGCTTAGCATGAGCCGGTTGAATCACATGAGACGTATGAATCATACGAATACCATCGAATACCTCCGGCACGGGCTCAGCTTCCTCTCTTGGGCGTGGCCTCCGGAAGTTACATCAGGACTCAGTCTTTGGCGACCACGCACAAACACCTCACACATCGGCACACAACACAACCAACATTTCTTTTTTGCACTTGTTGGCGCAATTAGCTCTGGGGCGGCTGAAACCACCAAAAGAGCCAGTCAGTTGAAATGGTCACATCACGCTGACCGGTCCGTTCTTCGTGAACCGCTTGTACAACACCAGGCCATTGGGGCGAGAAATCATGACCTGCTACCAGGACCTCTGCGTCGTTTCTCAGCTTGGGCATCCAGGTCTGAAAGTCTGTCTTCACACAGCTGTAGAGGTGGCAACCATCAATGAAAACTGCATCCACTGTGTGGTTGGCCAATGAGCCTGCAGCCTCACTTGAGGTTGTTGGTAACAACATGGCTCTCTCCCCAAAAGATTCGTAAATAGACGCGGCCTGGTGAAAGGCGATGTCAGGATGCAAATCTCTTGAAAAATGACCTGGGAATGTCCCATCGTCACCCAAATAAGGGTCTACCCCCACAAGCCGAACAAAGTCGGTACTTTGTAAAATGAATTTGGACAGCTGCCCGACAAAAACACCGATTTCTACCACCAGCAGTTCACCTCCTCCACGTCGCTTGCGGAGGTCTTGCAATAACTCTGCCAACACTTGGAAACGAAGCCCTGTGAAGCGAGGCTCTTCATTCATGCTGTACCGGGGACCGTTCGGCAAAAGTGGCGCATCTGCATGGCAATCCGTGACACCAAAGCGCAACCACTCGTCTGGGTCGCCCCAGGCAGTGTGGACAACTTTCTGGGCTTCCAGGGAATCAGACAACCACTGCCACTGAGTCTCTCGCCAAATCAGTGCTGTCACCCAGTAGTATAATTCTTTGACCGCGAGCCGAGCAATTCGCCAAGATGCTGGCAACATATCCGGCTCGGCTTTGTTGTATTCCTTGGAAATGCGATCATCCAACTCTCTCATGGATCTTGCAACGAGGCCAGGTTCCATTCCTTGGTGCTGAGTTCTAACAACCTCCCAGGCTTCTGTCTGCGTCTGGCATATGGCTTGGCCAATTCTATTGCAGACCTCCAGCAGCACCCCCTCACAAGTCCATAGCTGGTAAAGGGCCAGGGAAACCAGCTCCAGCACCAAAGAGTGCAGAGTTTGGCAGCCAGTGACTGTGTTCACATGCAGCCCTTGAAGGCATGATTCCCGAAAGTCTTTCAAGACTCCCAGGACTTCGCGCAATGACTGAGCTTGACTCTTGCTAGTCTCATTACTGCGCAAGAGCTCCTCACCACAACCAAAGACCTGTCCTGCTGTCTGTAGCGTTGTCAGACTTTCGCACGCTGTCTCTCCCCGAACATGCGACAAAGGTTGAACCGCAGCGAACAGAAAGACTGCCAAAAAGGCGCCATGATAGATCATGATAACATGGCACCGTGTGCTGACATCCTTGCCTAAAAAGGCAGGTGAGTGCCAATTCAAACTATACATGATAGTTACATTGTTACATGTTCTTCATCAAATGATGGTTCATGTGGAAATGTCTTACGCAAGCATACGAAGTTGTTAGCGGGCAGGAACTCTGCAAAATGTTTGCACGTCTCTCCCCTGTCTTGATTTAGTTCTTTTCATTTCTTATCTATATTTGCTATGTTGAAGCTAACAGCAGCACATATGGCAACATACGGCAACAGAGATGCATGGGACACCTATAGAGCACGGCTAAAGTTTAAAGATGCTAAAATTCTCAAAACACCAACAAGGAAGCAATAGGAAGCACCTTGCACAGCTCTCTGTGTGGCACCTTGTGCCCTTGCCGCCCTTGCCCTTTCCTCTCTTTCCACCAAGGTCTCTCCAATCAGCTCCAGAGTCACGCCCATGGGCCTGCCTTGGAAATCTTGGATCCAAGAGCTGACAGTAACATAGATGACATCGACAGACTTCCATGAAACCCATCATAGTCATCATAGACCCCCGCAAATCAATGTGAAGTTAGGGCTCAACGTATTTGTATACGATATGGTGTGACAGTGTGTTATATAATGATTGCCATGTAATCATGATTAATCATGTGAAAACAGTACCCACAATAACCCCTGTCAACCATACCCTGCAGCATTTGCAAAAAGCGTTATAGAGAAAATAGCTGCTATAGAATGCATTCCATAGGCTCACATTATCGGGGGTTCCCACAATAACATAACATGAAATAACATGCAATAACCTCATCATACCTCAAAGGCAAACTAATTGATGGCTAACTCGGCGGCCCGCCGCGAGCGACTGCGTCTCGAACGGCTCCGCCGTGAGCGGCTCCGCCGTGAGCGGCTCCGCCGTGAGCGGCTCCGCCGTGGCCGCCGCCGGGACCGGCTGCGCCGGGACCGACTGCGTCGCCGCGAACGATTACGGCGCCTTGGCCACTGAGTGCCACGTAGTGCTACGGCATGCTACGGCCACAGCATATCATGCCACATCATCTCGCATCATAATGTCACTCCATGATACTACATGTCACTCTGTCACTTTCAGTCCCTTTTTATCCAAAATTCACAAAAATTGATGATTGATATTGATTGAGAAACATTGAGAACCACTTAGCTTGGGGCGAGCGAGACCGCCGGGAGCGACGTGGAGACCGTCGAGGAGACTGTCGTTGAGACCGGGATCGTTTCGGAGAGCGATCCTTGGTGCATGAGTCGTACTTTTAGTGTATGGCATCAGCAATGTCCCATATGGGAAATTTTAGATCGCCTGGGAATTCTCATGTCATTCTAATGACGAGGAGTGTCCTTCCATTAATTGCATGATGTGGCCGCGGAAGCTTGCCAGCAATATCCAGCAATTGAGGCTGAGACCTTGCCATCTTTGTCATCCTGCTTGTAGTCCTGCATGCAACAGCCAGTCAACAAACAATGGGGCAGACATGGGCAGACCGTTCAAATGCAATGACAGCGTTGCATCCCTTGCAGCCAGTCCCTGTTTCTCTGCCGTGGACTTCGGCTATGACCACCTCTGGCTCCATGCAAACCCACTGGATCTATCACTAAGTGCCACGCACAAGGAGAAAATAAAAGAACATGTCTGACCATGTCTGACCGCCTTTGGGCGAACTGGTGCTTCGTTGCGTCGGCTGCAAAGTGGCCGAGCTCGGGTTATCCTCAGCAGAAGCTTCGCATGCGGTCTTGTCATATTTTGATCAGTGAATGGAGGATCTTGTTGAGCAAAACAGGTTGAGCACGGGACCCAGCCACCAAGACGCCTGGAAATCTTCCGAAATTGCCCTCTTTTCGGCACAAACTTCCTTGTGATATCTTGTCGTCATATGTTGTCATGACAGTAATCCTTAATTTTCAGCAGATTTCGCTTTGCCTGATGGGTGGGTTTTCAGCTGATTTCCACGTGATTTCCCCAAACCCAATGCAGGGGTGCACCTGGAACTGCGCCAACTCGCTGGCTGTGCATCACCTGCCAGAGCGTTGAGCGCTTCGTCTAACTCTTCTCTGATGGTTGCTCGATCACCTGTTTGGGAAGA